TTCAAAAAAGTGTCCCTATTTAAAATAAAAAAAATGAGGGTCCCACCTTTAAAGGCTTGCTTTATACATATGCAATTCTCAAATGAGCCATTACTTTGACGGATATTATTGGATCATCTAACCATGGTCTTGGCTTGCAATTCATGCTATCCAGGGTCGATGTGTTGTGCCTTGGAATCTTCTTGCCATTATTGATGACATCAGATGGTTGGCTACAAAGTTTTCAAGCATAAGATGGAATCATATTTTTTCAAGAGACGAATTTTGCTACTCACTAGTGCCTTATTGTTTCAGGCACTCATATTTGAGAGTTTTATATTCCAAATTTTGCTCGGAATGCTTCTCTTTAATTGTATAGAGGTTTAACAAAACACCTTTAATAATGTTCACTTTTAACGAAAAACTATATTTATACATTTCTCTGGTACTATTCACTATACTTTTAAAAAAGAATTTACATTAAAAATTTTTTTTTTTTTACTTTTCTTTAATTTTTTTAAAATAAAAAAGCATAAAAGAAGATATGCCTTTGCAGTTCTGGGTAAATTTGCCGATAAATAAGATAGTCATCCATTAAAATATTGGATTAAGCACCTGGGCGAGGAGGATCATATTGATTATTCTTTATTATAATCTTCTGTGTTTTTTTTTGCTTTTTAATTCATGAAAGTTTGAACTTTTACGACTAATGCTGCACTCTGCTTTTTTGTTTCTTTTCATAATTTAAAAGCGAGTTTGGTATCCTGTAGTGCTTAAAGATACTTTGTCAGAAAAGAAGGCATATTTTACTTGGACTCAAAACAGCACCCAAGTTCATTGGTGCTTGCAATGGATATACATAAGGGAAAGGGGCCTATTAACTAATAGAGTAAATTGGTGTATTGTTTTCTTAGTAAAACAATTGCGTTAGGATGTTAAATGGTTAGTTATTAAATAGAGGGAATCAAATCTACACTAGAGTGTATAGATATTGATTTTTACTGCTGAATATTGATCTATGATTTAATTGTAGTGTCAATCTCTAAATTATTAATTTTAATAATTTGAATTTAACAAAATGTTGAACATTGGTCACAAGGATTGGGACCAACCTCGTGAGATGGCATGAATAACCAATGCTCTATTACGTCGAATTCAAATATTTATTCTAATAGATTTTTAATTAAGCGGCTAAAGCTACAATTCAATCATAGGTCAATGACAAACACTCTATTAAAATGTAACCATACAAAAATTATCACTACAAAATAAATCCAGCAATTGAACTGAATATTGTAAGTAAATTCAATGGAAGTAAAATTGTAAACTTTATCACTTTTATTAGATCGGCAAATATTTACCTAATATAAACCGATTGATTAATTTGTATTGTGTCAATCGATTAACTATTCTCATTTCCAATTCAAACTTTCAAATGAGTCACAAAAGGAAAAACCCAAATCCCTTCAGAAGGTACATATTCTCAATAAAAGTAAAAGACAAGAAAGAAACGTTGTTCATCATCATCATAATTTCAGTCTGCAAATCTGAGACACAACCAAACCCTCTGATCTCCCACTCAAAAGCTTCCAAATATTTTTTATTTTTTTTATATTTTTGACAGTTTTGACCAAAATCTCAAGGAAATTGGAGTCAAATATTAAATTACATTTTGGATCGACCCAACTTTATAAATTAAATTTGATTTTCTTTCGGGTATTTTGATGGGAAATTGAAGGATTCGATGACCTTCAATCCATATCGCAGAGTCCCACACCGGCGGCGTCAAATATGGGAAGAAATCTATGCCCAAGGGTCACTTACCCCAAATATGTATAGATATATTTATATATATTTGGTAGGGACATGGTATCTTTTGGGTGATCGATGTGGGGCCCACTTTTTCTTGTAGAGGAAATATATAGAGAAAGATTGATTATATCTGTCTGTCTTTCCATGATCTCTTTGACCAACCTCCCTCAGCATGAACAGTCAAATCTTAAATTAATAATAACAAATTTTAACGAAAATTTTTGGTATTATTTATTTTAATAAAAAATTATATTTTTACACTTAAAAATCAATTCTGGTAATATTCACTTTAGCCTTTATTTTGTCCTTATAGTTAAAACTCAAAATTTTCAAGTATTTTTCATTAGTTTTCCTTTAGTAATAGTCTACCTAAAAAAGATTAATAATAATAATAAATAAGAATTATCTGCCCTCTCACTTCTGTTGTCAAGCCACGTTAACATTTTATATTATTATTCTTTTTTATCTTATTATCTCTATAAAAAAATAATGTTATATTACTATTTCTTTTTGTTTTATTATCTTTATAAAAAAATAATATAAAATATTAACGTTGCTTAACCATGATCATACAAAACAGTATGATACCAAAAGTGAGAATTCAGAGAATCCTTGTCCAATAATAATCCTCTGTTTTATGTTTTATAAAGTAAAATAAGTAAATATTAATATATGGCATGAATAATCTGATTTAATAGTGATTTGGCAATCACTTTGCTGGGCTTTGGAATTTGAGCAGTTCTTCTTCTTTTTTTTTTTTAAATAACAACGTACGGTAAGTTATAATTATCCATCCTTTTTAAGGGTCACAAACATATTTTAACCTCTCATTGATCACAAATTTGATTCTCGTGCTTTCGAATTTGAGCAGTTGAGGGACCTTGATTCTTGCAGCCGGTCGATTTTGGATTCACAGTCACAGCTGTTGGAACAGAGTCATCATCTACAATCCCTCTTACTGTTTATATTTGTGCTTTTCAAAAACGATGCAGCAGATATCTAGAAAGATACCAACACTGTTGTTATATTTAAACAAGGATAAGTATTGTCTGACTCCATTTTCGATGTCCTTTTATGCTCTCTTATTTTGTATAATTACGGTTAAATTACGTCAACATATTATATTTTTTTATAGAAATAATAAGATAAAAATGAATAGTAATATAAAATGTTGACGTGACTTAACCATAATTACACAAACAAAAAGGCACAGAAGGGAACCGAAAGTGGAAGGGCAGACAATCCTTGTTCTTTGAACAAAACCTAAAAACTATCAAGGCTATGTTTGAGTGGGGATTTTGGATAGGGATTTTCTTCCTTTGTTTTTTTCTTTACCTTTTCTTTTTTTCTATTTGAACGTTCATACTTTTATCCTTTTAGACAAAAAAAAAAGAAGAAAATACAGAAAATGTGAGATAAGGAGAGGGAAAAATGAAGGGAAGAGAATCTCCATCTCGAATTTTTTCAAGATCTAAAGGATTGATGCCAAGTAACTAAAAAATAGATCATAAGACGTTATATAGAGTGGATTAAGAGAGCTTTTTGTGAGCATTACAAAAACATGAAACAGAGATTAACAAATCCCCTCACATGTCTTTCTAATGCTCACACTATATTTTATAGGCTAAATAGTTAAAATGGTCCCTGAGATTTCCATAATACATCACTTTGGTCATTGAGATTGAAAATCAATAGAAATGGTCCCAAAGATTGTCCACCATCCATCATTTTGGTCACTATGTTAAAAACTCCGTTAAATGTCCCAGAGCTCTTGGTCTGAAGTTTAAGCAATTTTTAAAGCTTCGTAACTCAATTGTTTCTTAATCAAATTTCACCCATAATATATCGAAATGAAGATAGGAAAGTGTAGACTAAGATTATACCTATTTGGAAGCCCAATGATTGCTTGAGATGGCTGGAAAATAGTCTCAAAGTTGACTGGTCTGTGGAAAAACTGGAAAATTCGCCTGAAACTGGGTAAATTTTAAACGTTCATAACTTCTTCAATACACAACAAAATCGAGTGATTCAAAAACTAAAATCATACTTCTTGATGAGACGAAGAGAATGGTACCTTTATAGACAACTAAATCACAGTGGTTTTGCCATAAAACTGCTCGAAAATGAGTTAGCCAATTTCGAGCAATTTTTTGGTCAAATCATGGCGAGTTAGTCGTCAAGAAAGGTACCATTCTCTTATTCTCTTCAATAAGTACGATTTTCATTTTGGAATCAGTCGATTTTGTTGAGTATTGAAGAAGTTATGAACGTTTAAAATTTACCCAGTTTCCAATGAGTTTTCCAGTTTCCCGCAGACCAATCAACCTTGAGACTATTTTTCGGACATCTCCGGCAACTATTGGGCTTCCAAATAGGATAATCTTGTTCTACACTTTCCTATCTTCATTTTGATATATTATGGGTCGAATTTGGTTAAGAAACGATTGAATTACGAAACTTTGAAAATTGCCCAAACTTCCGGCCAATAGCTCCATAACACTTAATGGAGTTTTTAACGAAATAACCAAAATGATGGATGGTGGACAATCTCAGGGGCTGTTTCTATTGATTTTCAATCTTAGGGACGTGATGTGTTATGCAAATCTCAGAAACCATTTTGGCTATTTAGCTTATTTTATATTTTGTGGCCCGTTCCTTGCAACACCCTCGTCCAAACATAGCCTAAAGAATTAACCCACGTAAATCACAATGCACGATAAATAAGGTGCTCACAACAACAAGACGTTCAAGTGATAGGAAGGGACACTGAAAAATATAGTGTATTAACATGTGTTTCGGATACACAAAAAAAGCTCTCCAAGCAATATTGTTATGATAGATTAGTAAAACAAGACACATCAACATTACACGTAATTTGTGAGGAGCCCAAAAGCCAAACTTTGCTTCAGCTAGGGAGAATTTTTTTAGTGTGCCGAAACACAATTCGGTATATTAAGTGTAATAATATAATTGTTGAAAAGTTTAAAAATAAAATTCCAACCAATTACATTATGCCACTTAATGTACAAGACGGTATTTCCGGTACATTAAAAAATCTCCCTCTAATGGGTTCGAGAAGTCAGCCTAGCGACATTTTTCAGTCGCAACAAATAAAAGAAAGGCTAGAAAGCCCAAACTGTTAGGAAAACTAGGCCCGTTAATACAACAAGCACAAAGCACAAAAAGAACACAAGGGCCCTAAACCGGTGTACAAACCGGCGTTAAGCGACGTCGTTTGGTTTGAACAGGCAAAAGAAATCAGCGCCCCGAACCGTCGCACCAGCAAGCGTTGCAAAAATGGAGGAGGAAAAAGCAGCGGCGTACTACGACGAGCTGACTCGGCGCGGCGAAGGAGCCGCCCGATTCAAACAAGGCCTCGGCTTTTCTTCCGCAAACTCGGATTCCGAAAATACCCCTGTGCGCGGTTCAGCGCTGGCGTATTCCACCTCGTCCTCCTTCCTCAGTAAGTTCGTCAAGGCGTCCAGCCCGAAGAAAGAGTCGGAGCTCCGAAATCAGGCCCAAATCGAGTCCATACAGAACAAGCTCAAGAGGAAGAGGCCCGACGCGGCGGAGGAAAGAGAAGAGAAACAACCGGCTAGGGTTTCGCAGAGAGAGAATAAGCATTCGAGGAAGCGGAGCAGGAGCAGGAGCAGAGAGAGGCATTCGAGGCGGAGAAGTAGGAGCAGAGAGAGAGATATAGAGAAAGAGATAGGGATAGAGAGAAAAGGAAGAGGAGGAGTAGGTCCGGGAGCGATTCCGATGGAGGTAGACGACGGAGAGGGAGGAGCCGGAGTCGGAGTTGGTCGCCTCGGGATCGGAGAAAGGAGCGGCGGAGGAGTCGGAGCTCGTCGCCGAGGGAGAGGGGTTCGGAGAGGACCAAAGGTAAATCGGGGAAGGAGAGGAAAGGCGGCGGTGCTGATTATTCCAAGCTGATTGAGGGCTATGATAAGATGGTATGATTAGTTTGGTGATTGAAATTTGTCAGTAATCAAGCTCAAGTCTAATGGAACACTGATTTCTTAAGATGTATACTAATTTACTTGTGAAATTCTTGATAAGATTGCTAATTACACGTTATTTTGGATTTCGATTCTCTAGAACGATTAACAAGCTGTTCTTTTGATATGATCAGTCAGCGGCCGAGAGAGTGAGGGCGAAGATGAAGCTTCAACTGGCCGAAACTTGTGAGCTATCTGATGTTATAGTGCATTATAATCGTGTGTTATTGTTAATTAATCTCTAAGATATGGGTTTGCTTGGAGCTGTGCATTATAACATTGTGTGTTTTTAAATGCAGCTGAGAAGGATACGGCGAAAGGGATGGGCTCAGGTTGGGAAAGATTCGAGTTCAACAAAGATGCACCACTTGATGATGAAGAAGTTGAAGGTTAAACGTCTATAACCACCACTGTATTTTATAAAGTGAAGATTGAATTTGTCGCTTTGCATTACTTCTGTTTTCTCAATCAGTTGGACAATCGTCTTTATGTTCATATTTTGGTGAGAAAACCTGGAAATGTTTGCAGCCATAAATGCCGCTACATCTTCTAACTCGGCTGTACTTGTAACAAGAGATTATCGTTTCAGGCTAACACTCCGATTGCTCTATAGCCTTACGAAGTAATTTAGTTTTTTATGTATGGCATGGTAATTATTATCCAAGATCAGAAATCTAGAGCATTGGATCAATCAGTCATCATAGGTTAGATTCAGAAAGAAAGTTGTGATTATGTTGCTCATCGTTGACATGAGAATTAATAATCCTGCCACACTGATTTATGTAGCTTTTAAGTTGTAATTGGCATATATCTTGGCCGTCTGATTAGAACAAAGTGAGCTGATTGTGCATGATTACCTTTTTGTGTAGCTGCTGATGATGATGCAGTACTAGTTAAGCACATTGGCCAAAGCTTCCGGTTTTCTGCAGTTGAGGTATGTCTATCTGCGATCTTCCCGCTATTTACGCATTTGAGTTCCAGTTTTGGCTTGTTAAAGATGACGAAAGTTCCGTGGTTTCTGACGTTACTCATTCGACTGTCACCGCGTGGTTTCTGACGTTACTCATTCGACTGTCACCGTGTAGACAAAAAGGGAGGAGCAGCTCAGATCTGCTCATGATGAGGCTATGTTTGGTGCATCAGATGATCGACCGACCATTGTGATGGATAGTGAAATTGAGGAAGAGAACGACACAAAGGATAGCAAAGAAAGTGAGCCTACAACTACAGTCCTCTTGAGTGATACGGTAAGTTGAAGATTGCTTGTTGCTAAGCGACATTTTGCTGTGGGTTATTTTTCGGACTGTACATTATATCTGAAACGATGCTGCCATTTCTGTAGGTACTTGCAAAGAAACAAGGTTCCTGGCGTGATCGTATACGTGACAAAAGGAATTAACATGATCTGAAGCCGTAGACAAGTTGAGGGTCTGGAATGGTGACCGAAGGGGGAGACATGTATTTCGGCATGGAACATTCTAATACTACCACTTGGGTTTTGATATGAAGTTACATGATGGAGTTGACATTGACAATGAAGAAGCTTCTGCATTGAAGTTAGAGGCCGTAGGAACTTCCATTGTCGAATCATTTATCCTGAATCATCCCTCTGTTCGAAAACAGCATTTCTGGAGTGTGTCCCCAAGCTCACGCTCCTTGATGAAAAGAGTTCGAGCATGTTGCGCTGTATTTTGGCCTAGGAAAACAGCGGCAGTGTAGTCGTATGAGTAGGCCACTAGTTGTACTTGTATTGTACGTGTGTTCGCATATAATGTTTTAACATGTTCTAATACAAAATTTGATTGCGAGTTTAGAGATGTGTCTGTTGAAGAGCTGAGTTCTCATCCGGCATTAGCTGCTAAACGAGATCAAAATCTTAATCACGATTATCCACGTAATAATCGTGATTGTGCTATAAAAGGTACACGTTAATTCAACTATCCTAGTTTGGTATCAAAAGAAAAATCCACTTGTACAAGTGGTAATATGGACTTATTCAAGTCAAGTAAACTTGATTAGTTTCGCTTTGTGAATGAGAAAAACTTGGAATTCAACCATACAAGTGATAATATAGACTTATTCAAGCGAAGTAAACTTGATTAGTTTTGCCTTGTGAACGAGAAAAACTTGGAATCCAACTATACAAGTGATAATATGGACTTATTCAAGCCAAGTAAACCTGATTAGTTCCACCTTGTGAACAAGAAAAACTTGGAATCCAACTATACAAGTGATAATATGGACTTATTCAAGTCAAGTAAACTTGATTAGCTAGGCCTTGTGAACAAGAAAAACTTGATGCAATTGTGCAATGATATGAACAACCTTAAAGCGGATTCTTTAATTTCTTCTTTATGTTCAATTAATTAAGGGTTGTGTTATCCACCCCACTCATTTTTACATCTCATACACCCCTGTTAATTTTTGTCTATTGATCTTTTCGAATTCATTCGATTCGACGGCTGAAAATTAAAATGGTGTGTGAAAGAAGAATGGGAGCGCAACCACTAATTAAAAACTAACAGCATCAAAAACCAACAAGTCGTTGTAGTATAGTGGTAAGTATTCCCGCCTGTCACGCGGGTGACCCGGGTTCGATCCCCGGCAACGGCGCCTATTTTTTTTCTCTTTTTTCATACGTATTTTAAGTCAGACCTTGGGGAGCTCAATCAAATTACGTGTCGCAATCTTATTTGCTGAACGGGAACTGCAAGCGGGGCACCCCAGTCCCGAGACAGCCAATCAAAATCGAGCCCTTCCAATTAGAACTTATATAAACGAGGGATAAAAGTGGCGGCTCATCTTCGCTCCTTCCTTCGTTCCTATTTTCGCATTCTCAAGCCCTCATCGCATCTTTCTCTCCGGGAATCTCCGTACGGTACGTTTCGATCAATGGCTGCGAATCGCTGGCTGAGGCCCGAGGTGAGCGCAGATCTACCTCCGATACTTGATCTTTTCCTTTCGTTTTTGGGTCAGATCGGCTTTGATTCTGTTGGTTGGGCATTTAATCCGGCGTCGTATTGTATGTATGTGTGTGTAGGTTTATCCACTGTTCGCTGCCACAGGGGTCGCCGTAGGGATCTGCGGGTTGAGTCTTTTCCGCCATATCACCATCAACCCTGAAGTCAGGTATCTCTCTCTCCTCGCTTTCTCTCTCTAAATTTGGACTGCAAAGCTTAGTGCTTTAGAATTAGGTTGTTGCTAATCTGTGTGTTCTATTTCTAATCCGTTTATAACTTATCGAATTGGAGGAATATTTCAAGACGAAAAAACCATAATTTTATTATCAAAGATTTGGGTTTAATTTAACCATAGAGGCCAACTAATGTTTTTTCAACCAAAATAAACCCATTTTGTGATGGATGTCTGGACGAAGAAAAAAAAAAAAGGAAATTTGTTCGTTCCCGCAAAATTGTAGGATCAGAAAGGTTACGTTTCCTTCATTTATAATATTTTCTAATCCCCTCTAAATGATGAATTTTGAACCTCTCCCGAACATTTGGCAATCTCAGATGTGTCGATATCAATGGTGACTCATTATTTCGATAAATCATTTCTTCGGACAAAAGAAGATTATATAAACACTTACTCGAAATATCAATTATCAAATTCCATTGTGGAGGACACAATTTTTTCTGAAAAATTCGCCATGATATATCCAATCCATGCATAATATCATGAAAAATTGATACAAATTTTTGGCTGCTACCTTCTAATGCATTTTGAATTTTATGAGATATCCAATGCAATCCTTCTTACCAAATGAGCCCTTAAAGTGTTTGTATACAACATGATTAGTTTGGAGTTAAAGCTCTTAAAATCCTTCAAGCTAGTGCACTTGGTAAATGTGAAGAACAACTCATGCATATGTGTGGTATTTTCATCTTGCTCGGTTGGTTCCCTTCACTCTTACAAGTTGAAAGAATTATGAATTGGATGTGGAAATAAAGGGATGTAGTATCATCCTTCTGTTTTGCAATTATCCTGGACGTCATACCGAGCGTAGTTACGTTCAATGGCGTAGCCAAAAATTATTTGGTGGGTGGGCTAAGCTAAAATTATTACTACGAAATCAAGTTTTTAATCCTATGTTGCCTACATAAAGTTATATAAGAGTAAAAATTTGAATGTAGTAATTTGAAGCAAGAATTTTATGCTATGTTTTCTAGGTTTCTAGCCTTCAAAGCTTTCAAGTGAATAAAATAAGGAACCATTTGTGATATGGAAGTTTTAATTTATTACTATTAAATATAATATTGGTTAAAGTGATGAGTTTATTTAACATCTATGAGCTCTTATTATTCTTAAAAATAGGCTTACTAATAAAAAATTTCATTTCTTATGTGAAATATGACAATTAAAAATCATAAACTAACCTAAAAATTAATATTTTTAAGCTTGAAGAACCAAACTCTCCCTATGCTATAGCCTAGGGGAGCCTTGTACTTGGCTCCGCCCTTGGTTACTGTTCTAGAATTCATACAGCCGACCCCACTTAGTAGATAAGACTTTGTTGTGGTTGTTGTTGTTGTTGTTTGTTGTAGTGTATAGTGATACCATTTCTTTTTTCTTTCTAAATCAGAGTGACCAAGGAGAACAGAGCTGCTGGAGTATTGGACAATCACGCCGAGGGAGAAAAGTACAAAGAGCATTTCCTGAGGAAATTCGTCCGCAACAAGGCGCCGGAAATTATGCCAGGCATCAACGCTTTCTTCACGGACCCGAGCAAGAACTGAACTGATTCGAGTACCGGTTAAGCGCTGAAAATGCCAGAGATTGAGACTACAATTGCTGTTAGTCATTTGAAATAATCTGAGTGTATGACAATGTGCACTTAAATTTGGTTTTCTTTGTGATGATTAACTGTCTTTCGAGCATCGGATAAGCTGGATGTTGCCTTCTGTATACCAATTGGTTGGATGATTTATATTGTTTTAGCATTGGCAAATTTTTATACGATTGTTTCGTGAGACAACATACGAAAAAATATATCAAGTAATCGTATATCCGACAGAAGTTTTACTGAATCAAGAGAAAATTACTCCGTATGTTGATCTGTTTTCGCACATCAAAGCCTGCTTTGTGCCTAGTTCAACAATACACAGATAGGCAACCCAGTGCGGAAAAATAAAGAACGAACGGAAGATTAAGGAAACACTCTAGAAACTAAAGCAATACATTAACAAATTGAGTTTTTCTACAGAAATATAACTAATTAACATTAATAACACAAGAACACGCTCTCAAATGTGACCGATCCACTTCAAGCTTCTCGCAAGATGTTGTGCTGAATCTGATAGAGAAGGGTATCTGCCTTATACATCACGACTAAATTACTGGAGGAAAGTGCTCAACATCCATTGAAGGACCACCGGCTTGTTCTATTCTCATTCCTCGAAGTAAGCTTTTTGCTGTTTCCTTTTCCTGCAGTGAAGCACAAAGAATTAAGTTACTTTCTGTTGATTCGAAACGTTTGCATATAATCCATTAGATTTCAATGTCACGTCTACGTAAGCATATATAGAGAAAGAGAAGTTGCAACTCACCGGGCCAGTATAATCTAGAAGACGGGTACAATAGATCTCTGATTCTTCAAATCTTTTCTGCTGCCTATAGTATTGAGCAAGATATAGCAAGGTTTCTACCATATTTGGTCCTTCCCTGTCTTCGGCTTCCATCCTCTCCAAATCCTTCTTGTAGTAATAAGCCGCCTCTTCAGAACGTCCAAGTTCAGAATTTAGCTTTGCTAATTGGTGCAGGGCAATCGCTTCCCTGTCATTACAATTAACTGCCCTTTTGTAACACTTCATCGATTCCTCAGTCATGTGGAGCTGTTCAGTTTCATAACACTTGGCCATAGCAATCCACAACCGAGAATCATTTGGCTGCAAGAATACTGATTTCTTGAAGTAATACAGAGCATACAAGGGCATACTCATCATCTCATAAGCTTGTCCTAATCCATACCAAGCTCGATAATCACATGGATTTATATCTACAGCATGGCGATATGCCTCAATAGCAGCTGGGGTGTTTTTCATCTCAACATATTCATGACCCATAAGGGTCCAAGCAGACAAATAATTTCTGTTCAATTTGAGTGCCCTCCTAAAGTACACAACCGCCTTCTCATGCTGCCCTTTTAAGCTGTAGTAATTTCCGATAATACAACAAGATTCAGGTCTATATTTATCAGTGATAAATACTCTATGGGCAAGATAACTTAGTGCAGAGTAGCACTCCTTTGCATATAACACATTGGAATACATGTCCATGTCTTCCACTCGGTAAGGGTCATTCCTGAGAAGTTCTTCAAAAATTGCTTCAACTTGTTCAAATTCCCGGAGATTGTATTGTGCCTTTGCAATTTGAGCCTGAATGTAATTACTGAAAACAAAAGTGCCCTTAAGATATTCATACTTTTTTAAGGATTCACTGTGCTTCCTCAGTTCTTGATAAGCACTTGCGAGAAAGAAGTCCTTCATCCAATGGTTATTGAGCTTAAGGCTGTTCAAGACGTCAACTGTAGTGCATAACGACTGCAGCTCCGACCAGGCACTCCAGTTCCAAGGGTAGCTATTGACAGACTCTACAAGAACTGTAAGAGCAAGACTCTTGCTGCCTTTGTCTTTGAGCACAAGACCATACAAGTAGAGTCCAAAAGGATCAATAGTCCCATTCTTGCGAAGGTTTGATAACTCCCTCTCGAGAGAAACCAGTTCACCATTTACAACATCGCTCTTTCCTAGCGGCCCCTCAAGTTCTATCATTTCTTCCTCTTTCCGCTTTTCTCCAGCCTTCATCATGCAATAAAAAACAAGGAAAAATATACAATCATAAATCTCAATGAACTAAGTAGGTTCATAAAAATCAAAGATTTCTGAACAAAAGAGAAGCTTGTACTACTGCTATATGTAGCATTAAACTGACATAGATTTCTTAAAGCACCGATCAACCAAAATGTAAAATCTCAATAGATTCCTAAATCCACTTGGAGTTGTCTTTCACCCATTTTGTTGTATGTTTAATCCTATTTACCACATTGGATTCCTATATCTCATTATATTTCAACTAGTTCATTCATACTACATACATGTTGACTAATTTGGCTTCAAACTGAATGTTTCTGGTACTCGAGTCTTGAGCCCGTTCTATAGAAAAACTTGTTTTCTCGCATTTACGTCTCAAGCTTGTTTTTTGCAGAAAGCCCTGTGTGGCTTTCAAGTGGCACGTCAGTCTTGTTTATGGGATGTTCTCAGCCTAATTTTTTCTTTGGCTTTATGGATACACTTCTCCGAGAGTGTTCTTTGGTTATTGTGGATGCTGCACAGCTTATTTGATGTGCAGAAACAAGAACAAAATTTCTCGTTTCTCATTTGATTTTGTGCGCAAGTGAGTGAGCTTGGGTGTAATTGGGTCATAGGATTCTCAAGTGATAAACACTCGTGAGTGCTCGCTTGGAAGACTCGGTCCTCCAAACTGGACGTAGGCTTGTTAACCCTAGAGTAGTATCATTTAATGGTGCTCTTGGTTAGATTAGCTATACACTATGCATCCTCAACAATTTCAAACTTGTGAAGATTCAAATTTATGGGCGAAACACACCGAAAAATCAAAAGACTAAAACTTTGATTTGCAGAGACTGAAAGAAGAGAGAAAGTTACAAACCAGATATAGAGCATAGGAGCGTAAGAAGACCGACTTCTTTCCATTCTGATCTCGAAGCACATGGGCAGCTCTTCTGTACTCCCTGCAGTCAAAATACGACTTAGCAAGGAGGTAGAAATCGCCGTCCACAATGTCGTCTTCCTCCATCACCGGAGTGGACACATACGACAAGCCGGAAGCCGGCGTCGAAGTGATGTCGTTGGTGCGGAACCTGCGCCGGATGCTGGAGCTCCCGCGCTGGAATCTCGTGTTCGCAGGCGTAAACTTTACCGGGTCCTGGTCGATGATGCCCGACGAGCTGCTCCGCCGCCCTGCAAATTGAAACGACGACACATCATTTGAATGTAAAGAATTGAAATTTGAATTGAGGATTTAGGGTTTTAGGGTTTTGGGAGGTACCATTTGGAAGCGGCGTAGAGGCAGCGATCGCTCAGCTGTCGAATCGCAGTCCGAAGCTCGATTCTGTAGTTCTCTTTCGAACTCATCGAATCGATTGACTCGGTCACTCACTGGCTCAGCCAATTCTGCAACTGTTTACCGGGGAATATAACGACCGCCGTGAGTGACGGTTGCTACTGGCTGCCGAGCCGCCCCGCGCTCTCTGTTTTCAGATTTTTCAAAAACAGGAATCGAAATGTTTTGGGTTCTGGGAGGGCTTAGTATTTTAACTTGGATGGGCTGGGCTGGTATTTTTTATTCTTGATTTTACGTTACTACGATGGACCACATCAACACAAAACATATTCTTTACGAAATTACGATGGATAGACTACATTGATTTGCAGCGCACATATTCAGGGATTAAATTGATCATTTTTCAATTTCAAAGGCCCATGAGGCTCACATATTCAGAAACTATATTGATCGTTTTTCAATTTCGAAAACCATCTTGATGGAGTGAGTCAATTTCAAAGATTATTTGTGATGAAAACCCCAAATTTATTAACTAAGTTACTACTTTCATTGGATGGTTCATTTTGTTCTAGTAGCATGGCAAATTTAACTTTCTTACTCCATTGTTACCTTCCACGTAAATGCGAAATAAGCATTTATGGTTGGGCTGAATCTTAACAGAGTGGGTTAATTTCAAAGGCCATCTTAATAGGGTGGGTCAATTTCAAAGATTATTTATGATGAAAACCCTAAATTTATTAACTAAGTTACCACTTTCATCAGATATAGTTAATTTTGTTCTATTAGCATAGAAAATTTGAAATTGTTACTTCATTGCTACCTCCGTCGGAAATGCGCAGTAAGCATTTACAGTGTCTTTTAAGGTGGGAAAATTATTGCAAATATGTAGGTTGGTAAGAGTTTGGCAGGTCACATAATTGGATTGAATGACTCTCACATATGAGAACAACTTGCATAGAACGAGTACATCATGTGGCATTCTAATCGAATAACACAATATAATATGAAGAGAAACTTATAGTAGCGATGAACTCGTTCATGCAAGTTCTAACGCTTAATCAACCAATATAAAAGCAAACATTGAAGTTCAAATAAGATTAAGTTATTACCAAATAAAACGAAAATCCCAACAAGAAAAAACAGAAACGAAATGTGACATAGTTCTTGACCAACAGACAAAAGAGAAATGTAAAATACTTCAGAAGTCTTGAATCGAACTTTTAATCTCGAGGAAGAGATATAACACCTTTATAGAATTCTTCCTGCAGAATCATCTCTTCCTTGTTCTCTTCCAACTGCGTTGTGATCCTCTTCCTCAAAATACGATTTTCGTCTTGCAGCTTTTCGATCTTGCCACGAAGTATTGCATTAGTTGCCTCAGCATCTTTCCTGAGCCTCATTTCTTTCGGGAGCTTGTCCTTCAGCCGAATAACCTCTTCGCTGTCCAGGCTCATCTGCCTTGTCGGCTGCAAGACCATCTCCTGGTAAGATTTTATATCGAATTTCACCCTCCCTTTATCATCGCAGTGATGGTTGAAAGAATCCAAGTCTCGCTTGGTTGGCAAGAAACCATAGAGCTGTCGGATAAGACCTGGACGAAACAAGGCAGGATTGCGCTCCCAAGCATCCCTACCAAATCCTTGTTCTGCAAAATGCCTGTGCAGCCGCTCCTGCCTCAAAATGTCCCATCGCTGAGGCCTCAAAAATCAACAAGCTCATCCCACAATGTCCCTGAGGACCATACGAGTGTCGAGCCTTACTAGCATGATAATCATCAAACAAATCAAGAAGCTCCTCGGTCCCCATTCCAATCCACTTGTCAAATTCATCTGTTCAAGTTTTGTGTTCATGATAAGCACCATCGGAGGCCAGATAACTTTGCGATTCTTTTCCTCATCTTTCAGAGCTGCCCATCTGCCGAATACTTGGCCCACAGGTGTGACAGAGGCTCCCTTCAGCTGCAACTCCGCATCTATAAGTTTTGCAAGCTCTCGATGGAGCTTCACCCGCTTTGCCCCTTTAGTTTCTGCATGCCTTTTGAGGGGCTGCAGGCCATCGTACCAATCAATTGCTCCGGGACCCTTTTTGCAGGCAGGGCAGTGCCATCGCCTGGCAGGATCAGCAACCTCATCCACACTTAAACGATCAAACTCATCGAAGAATTGTTTGAACCAGTTACTCTTCTTTCGAGTTTCATGACTCTTTTCACTAGAGTCAGAGTCAAACTCATCACTGAAGAGATCCTCATCTGAGTCACCAAGATCACTCAGAGGATCAGAGTTGTCCTCGTCACCATAATCTTCGGCAACAGCAACAGGAGGAGCCACATTCTTATCTTTCTTGTCAGCTCTGGATTGCCAATTCCATCCTTGGTCCAGCGGAGGGGGAATCACATTTTTCGGGGCCACAGAGTTATCTCCGAAACCACCAGTGCTGTTATACTGATTCCTTGCATTTCTTCCTCCAGCAGGTTTTTGAGAAGGAGCAGCTTGTGAACCACCAGCACCGCTACGCATGCCTGTGATTGGAACACCTTGGGGTGGTGGTCCCCAAGGCTTGTAACTAGAATTTTGAGGACCAAATCTGCCACCACCTCTGTTCTTCGTTTTCTTGCCAATTACCTCCCATTCTCCATTGTCCTGTGCCGACTCCAGGCTAATGTTTGCTACATTCTGACTCAATTGCTTTCCTTTTAGATTTCCGCCGCCTCTTCTTGAACTCATGTTGGACAGCAATCCTCTTCCTCGACAAAGCCGGAAACCTAACCTTCAATAGAGGCACCTGATGTTAGTGCAAATACCTACAACACAATCAAAGCAAATGATCTAAATAGCCTAATGGTAGAAAAGTAACTTTAGTCCTTACAAAGTCAGTTGAGACTTGAGAGTTCATATCGAAACTTCATCGGCATCCAACTGTGTTATGTTTTAAAAGCCTTTCATTTCACTCTCAATTCTCTCAATTTCAATGACCAAACACATATGTAGGCCTGCACATAAGCACCCTTAAACCCCGGCAAAATCTCGGCTGTAACCGGGGTACATCCCTCAGGCAGAGGTGAAACCAGAAATTTAATGAAGAGAGGCACCTTATAAAATTCAAAGCTCCGTTTTTTGCATATCAATGCTAATCCGTATTAACAAAATATATGCGCCTTAATAAGGTTATACTCGAGAGAAAGTTTGCAACTATGTTAACAAGATTACTATCATCATTTCTCTAATAAAACAAAGGTGGGAGGGGCATGCGCCACCGCGGGGCCTGTGCTCCCTCCCCGTCCTTGTCTCTACGTCACGTGATGAGAGATAAAACAGGGGCATACACGCCGGGTTACGCATACAATCTCTCGGAAAAACATGCATCATAAATCACAAATTTACACACAGCTAGAGAGAAAAGCTGTGAAGTTTTGTAGGAAATCGGAATGCAAACCCACAGAAACTCACATTCTTCATGAACTTCTGTAAAAACTCAGTTCACGAATCAAAATGACAAAAATTCTGTAAACCCATCAAAATCCAATTAATAAAATTAATGAAAACAAAAAAATCCAAATGAGAAAATCTCTTCCTAACCCTGCAATTTTTAATCCTACGAACAGAATTTTTTTGATTACATAATGCCACGAACTCATGCAACAAAATTCATAAAAAATTAAGAAATTAATAAATAATAAACAAGAAATGTACCTGAAGCCAAATGAGACGATGAAGACGACGTTGGAGGAGCTCAGCAGGCGTGGTTTTTGTTGCGAGATGGACTCCCAACAGTCCACCCACTACCTCCTGGGACGAGAGTGATGGGAAGAGTCTGTTGTGTTTATATAATGTTTGGAATATTAATTCACTAGGGTGCTCACTCTTTTGCGTGACTATCTCTCTCCTCACTCGACATACTCTTATTTCTAGTAAGTATTTCTCGAAACTTTCGAGAAAAGTGTGTCTCAACTACTTTTTTTAATATACTATGCCACGTCAAATAACCACGTAGTAAGGACCAATGACACAAAGCACGTCGTATTAATTGCCAACGTGATAAAGTGTCATGATGCCAAGTCATCTTTGATTGGCATAACTAACAGATAATTTCTATTCGGACCTCGAGAAATAGCCCGCTTCGTGTGTTGCGAATCTAGTGTGTAACGTAAGATTGACCACGTGACTAGGACCAATAACATAGTGCCACGTCGATTGACAATTGGCTACGCTCCCTTGTAGGTAGATTTATTTCCTAATTTAGAGTGAGAGATTATATTCACATCCCAAATTATTTCTCACACCTTTTTAATTTTTTAATATTTTTCTATAAGTGTTAGTGGTGTGTCAAAAAATATTAAAAAAATTAAAATGATACGAAATAAATAATTTGATATGTGTGAATATAATCTTTCATTAAAGAAAGTGGTTTAGCTTATGTGCAACCGCGACAAGTTGTAGACTAATTACATAATGTCAGAGCTACATTGTGCCCAAACATGGCACGTGGTCCACCTTATTCTTTTTCGTTCAAGCAATAAGATAATCTATACTAAATTTATTCAAAGAATATAAAAGAGGAATTAAATACAGGACACTCGGGTACAATGACAAAGTCCCAAATCACTTATTCATCCAACAAGCTTTTGCTCTTTTGCCATTCTAACCAGTAACCATCTTCTAATCAGTGTTGGTTCTTTTTCATCCAGTCAAGATTTTGTTCTTTAATGCCCTTTAATCCGTTATATAGAAAAAGCAACCAAAACATGTACAAACAATTTCTGATTAATTGTTAACCTTTATTCCCTATTTTTAATTCAAATTCTTAGGCGTTCCAGCATATGTGGCTCACATTTTTATTAAAGAGATGATACAAATATGGTAAGAAAAATATGGTAAGTGTAATATTTTTGGATAAAAACTTTCAGGCTTTCTATCTAGTAGAATTGATACAATGCAAGTTTGAGATTTATATATTTTCTTTTTCTACTATTTGATTTCTTGTATATTTTCTTTCATCTCGGTCGGAGACCCGTATTTAATCCAATAAGAAATGAAATTATTTCAATATCATTAATTCAATATAGATCGCATAACGTATATATTACACTATAATACATATTTATTATACTTATATATGCCTATATTCTTATGATCTAGATTTGCGCTTTTATCTTTCATGTTGTTCTTATTCTTAGACGACTTGAAGGTAAATTAAACTACAATTGCCCCGACCACAATTACACTACAAAGACTAGAAACATGAGAAGAGATCCTCATTTGATTTATTCCACCAAGTCCACCGTATCAAGTGATCTGGACCTTTGAAATTTCATCCAAAGGCTAAAAATTATTATAGTTTTTAAAGGAGCAAAACAGGTGAACCGTTGGATGAAATTTAAAATATCTGAATCACTTGATCCGGTGACCTTAATGAAAGAGATCCGGAGAGGTTATTCTCATAAAGTCATAAACACGATTTGATTTTGACCAATGCCTTTACAATTAACCTGGGACAGGTTGGGCTCATATAGTGAAAAAGACAAATGCCAAGCCCAATTAAATTGAGCCCGCGAAACATGTTTGGCTGCCGAGAAAATAACGACGGAAAATTACCCACCCAACATCTCCAACTCCAACCCCAGAAAAATGCTCACTTTGCAACTCAAAACTGCCGCACAGAAAAACCCAAAACCCAGTTTTGCAATTCTGCGTCGGAGCCTCACCACCTCACCGTCACATCCCTCTCAAGACTCTCACTTGGCGAACCTGATTCTCAAATCCGACCCGCAAACCCTAACCCAGATTCTTCACAGCCCCGAAATTGACTGGTCTTCGGATTTGGTCGACAAAACCCTGAAGAGGCTCTGGAATCATGGACCCAAAGCCCTCCAATTCTTCAAAGTCCTCGACCACCATCCGAACTACAGGCACTCTTGCTCCTCCTTCGACCACGCCGTCGACATTGCCGGCCGCCTGCGCGACTACAAGTCCCTCTGGACCCTCGTGGCCCGAATGCGGTCCCGTAGGCTCGGTCCCGGGCCGAGGACTTTCGCTATCATCACGGAGAGGTATGTGGCTGCTGGTAAGCCTGATAGAGCCGTTAAGGTGTTCCTGTCAATGCATGAACATGGTTGCTCTCAGGATTTGAATTCGTTTAATACAATTCTTGACGTGCTTTGTAAAGCTAAGCGTGTTGAAAAGGCGTATAATTTGTTTAAGGTGTTTAGGGGCAGGTTTAAGGCTGATTGTGTTAGTTACAATATAATTGCGAACGGGTGGTGTTTAATTAAGCGAACCCCGAAAGCTCTGGAGCTTTTGGGGGAGATGGTGGAGAGGGGGTTAGACCCAAGTTTAACGACGTTTAACATAATGCTTAAAGGGTATTTCAGAGCTGGTCAGATTAAGGAAGCTTGGGAGTTCTTTTTGCAGATGAAGAAGAGGAAGTGTGAGATTGATGTTGTTACTTACACTACTTTGGTTCATGGGTTTGGTGTTGTCGGGGAGATTAGAAAGCTCGAAAGGTTTTTGATGAGATGATTGGGGAAGGCGTGCTTCCTTCGGTGGCAACTTACAATGCTTTGATTCAGGTTTTGTGTAAGAAAGATAGTGTGGAAAATGCTGTTGTGGTTTTTGAGGAAATGGTGAGCAAGGGTTATGTGCCTAACTGTGACGACTTATAATGTATTGATTAGAGGATTGTGTCACGCGGGAAACATGGATAGGGCGCTGGAGTTTTTGGACAGAATGAAGGATGATGAGTGTGAGCCAAATGTTCAGACATATAATGTGGTGATTCGGTACTTTTGTGATGCCTGGAGAGATTGAAAAGGCGTTTAATGTGTTTGAGAAGATGGGTCGTGGTGATTGCTTGCCTAATCTGGACACGTACAATGTTTTGATTAGTGCCATGTTTGTGAGGAAGAAACCTGAAGACCTGTTGGTGGCAGGGAAGTTGTTGATTGAGATGGTTGATAGAGGATTTTTGCCACGAAGGTTCACCTTCAATCGCGTTCTGGATGGGCTTTTGTTAACGGGTAATCAAGGCTTTGCAAAAGAGATTTTAAGATTGCAGAGCAAATGTGGCCGTCTTCCCGGTCAAGTAAAATTGTGAGCCATGTTGGAATACAGATTGGCCCATGAACCATGTAGATTTGAGACTCCATTCCAATCTTAACCCCAGCTACTACTGCTCCAAGGGGTTTCTGTTCCTGTGGAAGTTTCAACAAGATGTTCTCGTATCGCCCGGTGTTGGAAGTCTACAGTTTGGAGGATCAGATCAGGTGGGCATTTTGGTGAAATACGATTGAAAGAGAGATTTTTTTGGGCACCCGACTTGAGGCTTTCACTGCTTTTGCAAGCGGTCAAAAAAACAGGACTGGCCCAAGAACGACCCTCTCAGCATTTTAGTTGGAAATGAAATATCACGGAAAGAAGAACGAGAAATAAACTTGAGCGCATATCTTCTGTTTTCAAATTCGTACTTCCATATAACCAGTGTTTAAAAAATCGATATAGGTGGGAATATCGATATGCAGTTTTATGAAAATATCAATATAGATTGCGGCAATTTACAATGGGCTGGATATATCGTCTCATTCAGATTTAGTTGAAATTAAAGAAAAAATTCCTTAAAAAAATGAAATTTGCAAGGGGTTATGGTAAATTTTTTTTGGTGAATCAGAAATTATCATTGATTGTCTTATATTTCGTCGATATCAGTTGAATTTTGCATTTCGTCCTTTTTATATATCAATCCTTAATTTTTTAGATATTTTGATGGAAATATCGACAATTTCATGAATATTTTAAACACTGCATACAACGAGTTTATTTCAATGCCACACAAAATATATAAGCGAACCAACTGCTAGTTTAATGGTATCTTCCCTTCCGTTGTTGAAGTAAGCTAAATTCGAATCCCCCTCGTATCTACAAAAACGAAATTTGAATTAGGATAAGAATTATGGAGAGGAAAAATAAATGTTTAAGCAAATTTGGCCGAGATTTGGGACCTAAATTGGGCAAATTAGCAACCCAGTCCAAATATGAGGACGTAAAAATGAACAAAAAAAGGGAGGTAAAAGACGGTAAATTTGGCTCCATTTACAAAAAAACAAAAAACCCGAAACCATAAGATTTCCCGCTCATTCAAACATTTGAAAACAGTCGCCCTCTCTCTCTCTCTCCTCTCTCTTTCTCTCTCCTCCCCACTCATTTTTTAAACTATTTGTTCCGCAGACAGCTACGCTCCACCGCTTCGGCGCTCCCTCCCGCTGCCGCCCTTCGGATCCCCAAACGCTCGCAAATATTTCAAATTTGTAAACCCCACCCCGCCTTTTACTCCTCAAACCCCCCTTTTTCCCCTCTTTCTTAACGGTCCTTTCTCTCTCTTTCTCTCTATATCTCTCCCTCCTTCCCCCCTCTCTGTCTCTAGTCTTTCAGTACCTTCGCTTCCCTCCATTTTCTCTCCCTCAACCATGGCGGCTCCTCCACCCCCACCGCCAGCCCCAGCGCAATCCTCCGCCCCGGCCCCAACAGGTCCTTCCGCCAGAAACCACGGCTACAGCAGAAAGCAGAAGTCTCTCGGCCTATTGTGCTCCAAGTACTTTCTCCCTCTCTCTGTCTGCAATTTCTTGATTCTCTGATTCTCTCTCTCTCTCTCTAATTCTTCCTTTCTTTCAAATCGTGCAGTTTCCTCGGCCTCTACAACCGCGACGGCGTGACTTCAATCGGCCTCGACGACGCCGCTTCACGATTAGGTCTCCATCTTTCCCCGATCTCCGATTCCTTTGCACTTTCTTGTATTCATTTCGTTGGATCTAATGGTTTCTAGACTTGCAGGTGTAGAGAGGCGGCGGATCTACGATATTGTCAACGTCTTGGAGAGCGTTGGGGTCAGTTTCTCTTTTTCCTTTCTGGGTATTTTTCCTTCGATTTGTTTCGATTTTTCGAGTATTGATTTATTTATTTGGGTGGATTTTAATTTCCAGGTTCTTGCTCGAAAGGCGAAGAACCAGTATTCTTGGAAAGGATTTAAGGCGATTCCTAGTGCCCTACAAGAGCTAAGGGTATTTATCTCTCACAATTCATCATTAAGATTCAGATCTGACCCAATTCTCTCTTTAATTTTGGTGCTTTTTTCTTGCATTTGGTACTGATTTGGTGTTTTATTGTGCAATAGGAAGAGGGTCTGAGAGAGAATATTTGTAACTTTGACGGCAACGAAGATCCAAAGGCAAGTCCTTTGGGGGTTTTCTTTATTGGGCTGTCCATCTGTTCAAAATAAGGTCTTTGAATACAAAAATTTTATAAGTTTCATTATTTTCCGCAGGGTTTGCAAATTTCAGATGATGAGGATGATGTAGAAAGATGTGGGAGTCAGCAGACTGAGAACTCGAACACTAATCTTAATCTTAAACCTATGAACCCAAAATCAGGTAAGCTTTGTTTTCGGTGTTTTTGATCTTGTTCGGTGCTTTGGGCTAAATTATAGGTGGTATTCAAATTTACTATGAATGATATTTTTGGTGATGTCCTAAAGATTGTTTCTTTTATATTTCTTGTTAAGCAGATAATAGAAGGGAAAAGTCGCTGGCGCTTCTTACGCAGAATTTTGTGAAGCTCTTTGTGTGCTCAACTGTGAGTGAAATAATGGATTGTTACTTGCTCATTCTATAAAACTGTGATTTGGGTTTTATGTAATTTTGGGCTATTATTGATTTTACTGCATCAACTTGTAGGTTGAAATGATCTCCCTTGACGAAGCTGCTAAATTACTGCTTGGTGATGCACACAATGCATCAGTGATGAGAAGTAAGAAATTTATACTTGGTTTTCTTTATTCCTGATCATATGTTAAAAGGAGCAGAAACTCTTGACTAACTTTTGTTCAAAACTTGATGAAGCAGCAAAAGTAAGGCGGATTTATGATATTGCGAATGTTTTGTCGTCCATGAACCTCATTGAGAAGGTAAAAACACTAATTTGAATCATCAGTAGAAGGAAGAAATGAAACTTTCAAATTCAGAATCCAACTTCCATTAACTTAAACGCTTATTATTTGGCCAAGTTTAATGTTTTGCTTCTTGTGCAAAAATGTGCAGACCCACACGTCGGATACAAGGAAGCCTGCGTTTAAGTGGTTGGGATTGAGAGGAAAGGAGGAGGTTCCTCAGGAGACTAAGAAGAGAGCCTTTGGTACAGATATAACTAACGCCAGTTCTAAGAGGGGAAAGGTGGACTCTTCTGTTGGTGGGAAGTTGGATGGGCAAAAGCAGAAGGGCCTAGTAGGTGAGGCTGATAGGAGCAATTTGGAAGACTCAAAAGATGGTTCAAAGAGCTATCAGTTCGGTCCTTTTGCTCCTGTCACTATAGCCAGAGCTGGGACTGGCAGCACAAGGAAGGTTCATGATTGGGAGAAACTGACCTCTACGTATCGTCCTCAATATCAAAACCAAGGTATCGTCTTATGATTCCTCATGCTTTATATTAAAGAATTTGATTATGTATAGTAAATATAGCTGTTCTTATCATTTATCGGTAGCTGTCAGTGATCCATTTCTATGGGTTTGAATTCACATCAGGACACTGACTAATCGATAAGGAACTTCATAAGTTTTTAAACCTACAGATGATTGATGGACCCACTGTTTCTCTTGAATGATCAATGACCATCATCAGCCTAGGCGAACTTGTCTGTAGGACCAGATGAAAATAGTGGGAGAAAGAGAAGAGAGGTGGATAGAGAAAGAAACATGACAGGAGATTCACTAGGTGTGGGAAGAGCAGAACAAGGGGGTGGAAGCTAGGAAAACGTCTTATAGCAGAAATCCAAATAAAATTTTACTGAACCATATGTTTTGCTTCATGTTGCAGCTCTGAAGGATCTGTTTTCTCATTATACGGAAGCATGGAAGACATGGTACTCCGAAGTTGCTGGGAAGAATCCAATCCGAATTTCTTGATGCTTCTCCGTTTTGACATGCGCCAATTGACTTAAGGAAATCACTTCAATTCAACTCGTTCTTGACCCGGCAGAGAAGGGATGGCCCCTAGTTGGATGCATTTCTCTCTATGCACCATGTGCTATCCTCAGGAATACTACACTTAACCGTCCTATCTTGACATTCTCAGAATTCTTTTATTGATTTCCTTTTGAATCGATGACTAGTTAGAGATGTGCTGCGTATGTTTGTGCACCTTCTAGCAAAAATGGGTTGTGAATGGTGTAAGTTCATGTTGGGAATTGGAAAGTTGGGCCAATTTTACATGACAGATTCTTGTGTGCTCAAGTTGGATGAAACTTGCAATGCAAGTCATACAAAATGTTTGATGAACAAAGCATTAACTCATGAAAACCTCCACATATCTTCTCTTCTGATCTCTCGTTCTGGATCTCCTAAGAGTATCTTCAAAGAGTTGTTAAAATGTCCAAATCAACATTAACAGTTATAAAAAGTAGCAATAAAATTTTCTAACTAAATCTGACGTGGCATGACATGAAATAGTAGCTTGTACCCTTGCAACGTCAAATATTTTTCGTTCATTATTAAACACTTTCCCATGTCACCTATCCACCTTTCAAAGCAAACTGAAAAAGACAAAAAAAAAAAAAAGAAAAAAAATTCTTCTTCATCATTTTTAATTCCTTTCACTTGGAATTCCAAAGCCTTCAAACTTCTTCGTCGTCTTCTCTTTGCATCTCCGCTCGATCACTTACAGTGTTGGCCTGTCAAGCTCGTCTCCACCGTCAAGATGGGATTTGGGGGCCTCTGAAGAGGTGGGGTTAGGTTTGGAATATCGGGAAGGGTTGGGGTTTGGGTCAACAAGGAAGAAGAAGTGGAAGGGGCTGGGATTTCTCTTCGATCTTGATCCACACAACCACAAATGTTTAATTTCTGCAACACAAGATTGAAACAAGAAGGAATTGTGATTCAGGGTTTCACAATTGTAAAGGTTGATTTTGATAAATAGGAAAAAAATGAATGCCAAATGATTCATTATTTATTTATATTTTTTGTTGAAATTGTAGAAGTTATTGTATTTGTAAAATATAAATATAAAATAAAATTTATAAAAAAAAAATAATGTAATAAAATAATAATTCAATTTGACATATCTGATAAAAATTAAAATTGTCATATAAACTCTTAAATTTAAATTTTATATTTAAAATTTAACATTTCCTGTAGATGCTTTAATGCGCTACTTAGCCTCCGCGCTACTCTCCTTTCCACATGAAAACGAACAGCCCTCCTAACCCGAACCCTCGTCAAAAGAGTCCGACTCCGACCTTCGCCTTGAAGCTCAGAGGCACGTAGGCTAGGATGAAGAGCTGCTTGGTCGTTTCGTCCGATTGAACCACAATTCTCAGGCAACGAAACGGCACCGTTTCCCGTCTGCTCGGGCCAATGGGTCTAGGCAGTGACGGATCCAAGAAATAATATTAGAGGGTCAGTAAAAATGGCACGCGCAGTGCGCAACTTTTTTTTAATCAGAAATAGCATGCATATCGCCATTTCATCGAGTTTTGGTAGGCCTAAAGTCATTTGAAAAGACATATTGCACACCTATTAATGTATGCAAGGGGTAGCACCTAAAGTATCCATGGACATTCATCGAATCTTAGTAGGCCTGAAGTTAGTTGGAGGGCATGTATGAAGCCAACTCTAATCTTCAAAAGGGTAGCATCCATGGACATTCAACGAAATTCAGAGGATCAACACCTAAGGTATCCATAGACGTTCACCGAAGTTCGGAGAGCCAGCTGACCCCCCTTGCCCCTCAATGCATCCGCCACTGGGTCCAGGCGCCGTGACTCCGATGTAGCAGACTCACTACTTGATTGACGAAATGTCACCGTTTTGAGTCGTCGGACAACAAAAACATACATTTCATCTTTTTATTTAAGAAAAATGTATATAATTTATTTTTTATTAGCAAACAGCAAGACGTTAATTTACAAAAAAGGAAATTTGAACAACAGAAATGACATAGAAGAGCAGCAATCACAGAATGATTTCTTCCTGAACGCTGACGTTGAGCGTCTTATGGGGCAGGACAATGCTGTTTATAACCACCACTTCATCTTCAACTGTCACTGCTTCACCTGAATTGTCAACAAAACCGGGCATTCAGATGGCGCGTTTTGCAAATCGATGCTAATTTTATCAGAACAAGAGGATTGAGTGAAAACGAAAGGATTTATGTACCAAGGATCGTAATCCCGAGCTTTGAATTGTAATCCCCAGTAGCCTGAAACCGTAGTGCCGAACTTAGAAAGTCAATCACTCAATTGCAACAAAGCTTTAAATAAATAAGGAAAGTTGAAGTTCTGTTATTAAGCACGGGTTGGTAGAAAGTTTATGAACTTGCCTGGACGCGAGACCATCTCCCGATTGAAGATTTCCATCCAACAATTGAATGAATAACAACTGCGTTTTCCTGAAATAAAACATCGTAGATATGTCAACGTGAGGTGATGTCTTGGATGCAGTCCGTAGCCTATGCTTTGTGTTATGTACCTTAATTTCGACATTGTCAAGGATGATACAACTTATGAGCCTCGCACCAGGTCCTATGCGAGCATTTGCAGATATTGAGACATTGGGACCGATCTGTACGAGCAGATAGCAGGAGATTTAAGAGATGCATTACTAATGCCAACGCTAAATGATCTGGAAAGCGATAATACATCAGAGTTACGACAACCAGTATGAGAGAAAATGTACCTTAGCACTTGGATGTACTTTTGCTGATGGATGAACATAAACATCACCGGTAATACTGGCACTCTTTGTACCATCTCCACTCACCAAGAGATGTGGATTGGTGAATCGAAATTGTGCAAGATACAAACCAGAACACTTTAGCGACATTCTGCAAGTATCAACACAAAATATTTTCAACATGACCCAGATTGATGGGACAAGTTTATAGCAAGACAACACCTCAGACGCAAATCTTACCCAGGAGTTTTGATCTGTTCCCAGAAGTCCAAGGTTTCATATGTGTATAACTGCTTCTTCCCTGCAAGAGGTGATAGGATATCTTGATCCAGCCTTACAAAATGTGTGGGAGCGTTCCTGTGAAATGAACTCTCTATTAGCGTTACTTTTCTATTTTAGTCAATTCAATTCGTCTGTTGCTTTTAATTCGCTAAAACAATGTTGTCTTTATATGGTAGAAGAGAAACCTTGTTGCTGAATGAAGGGATTCGAAGCTGGAGAGTCGTCTTAAATCAGCTGCAAATAACAGAAAACAGTCAGATTTCAGCATGATGAATACCAATGTTATCAAGAAGTGAAAATAAATCTTAGTAGAAGCAATCAATGTATCCAAAAATTTCCTACAGACGAAAAATTGAAACAGATACCAAGTTCTTGTTGAAAGCTAAATTTTCATATCACTAAAATTAAAGCACATTAAGAGCACAGGACAGCCTATTCATGGATAATGTATCACTACCTCTGTCCTTCCACTGAGTGGAAACACCTTCGACTGGCGTTAAAAATGTCTGGCGTAAATATGTAGACACCGCAATTTATCCTGTCGCTGACCTGAATAAAATAAGAATATAAGAAAGGTAAGAAGAGAGAAATAATTCTCCATTGAAGCACCAAAAGCTTAAAATTCCGATCTCAAACGTACAAATGTCTCAGGCTTCTCGGTGTAATGCAACAGTTCATTGGTGACCGGATCAGCTACCAGTTCCCCAAACTGACTGGCTGATTCAGCGGAAACCTGTACACAGAAGAAGAAAACTTAGACATGGAGAACAATAGATACATGATAATCAATAAGATTAAGAGATAATATTACAAGACTTTGCTAATGCATTTATCGACTAACCTTGATCACAAGAATTGTTCCCATCCCACCATATTTTTTGTGAGCCTCTGCAGATAAACATGGCAAAAACCAGAGATTAAGCTTTCGACCATCCCCTATAAATCAACAATGAACAACCTGGAAATATCAAACGATACTCCCAGCAACTCATGAAACAGTTACCGAGCATTTCTGGAAGCGGAAAACTGCAGCAAACATCACAATTCAACAGGACAATGTGCGACTGCAGACAAATATAAGAACCAAAATCAGCCTTTTGCCTGAGAATTAGCACATGTATGCATGGACACAACGTATTTAGCAAAGGACCTAAACAAACAAACAAACAAAAACCATATAAAAACTTATCAATTGATTACGAAGAGGTAGGTAAAAGACTAACCGGGTTGTCTTCCATGATCCGATCTCTGAAATTATAAAGTCCACCAGCTGATCCATGAGGCTTGTCTTCCCTCATGTATCTAATCGCCACATAAACGCAATGAACAATCAATAGATTAAACATCAAATCCAGTTCAATATTTTCAAGATCTAACCAGTAGCTACTAACTGGAAAACAAAAGCAGAAGCTCACACCTAACAGGGACTTTAAGCTCATTGGAGATTGAGGACACATATAACGCAAATTCACGCTCCTCGTAGAAACCAATGAGGAAAATTTGAGTGAGGTTCGGAATCTGTAATCCAGAAAGAAAGTGAATTCAACTAGTATGCACACTATTAAGCCAGAAATGACAGATTTATGTAATACCCTTTTACAAGCGGAAATCGGATGATGAACCATTGGTTGTCCTGCTAATGGAAAAAGCGGCTTCGGAATATTCAGTGACAGTGGCCGGAATCTAGTTCCTGTAGAAATTGAAACTCCGATACATTAACAAATGCTTTCCAAATTCAATGATTGTAAGAGAAATGCCATGATTCCCAATTCATGATTGCACAACTGAATTTAAATTTCTCAAAAATGCACAAAGCATTGAACTTTGGCAGTGAAAATTCAATCAAGCATCAACATAATTGTAAGAAACTGTGAAATGGGGTCTCATTGTTCGATCCAAAGATCATCACAGTAACTTGTTGATTACCTTTAGTGGGCCCACCCACCATGATCACAGCAACCACCTTCTCGTCCGAGCTCCCCATATCTTATGCAGAAACCCAGATCCCCAGAGCCGACGGAGACAGCGGTGGTTCTGCTAGACAGCCGGAAACTTGAAGAAAATGAATGGAGTGGTAGTAAAAAAGGAGCCCGAAGGCATAATTTATACGAAAGCCAATGGTTGGAGGTTGAAGAGGGAACAAGGAAGCTTCACCAATGGACAAAAATCTGTACTTTTTCACAGCTCAGAGAGAAAGAGTAAAAAAGGGTCGGTAAAATTCAGAACGTGTGGTTTCGTGCAGACAGAGCGCCAGAGGAAGTTTCC